AGGGAATGACGATGGGTAGCCAAACCGTGAGGCGAAGAAATCAACCGCTATACACGAGGGAGCAAGTGGAAAGAGTAGAGAGCACCTTGCCGTAGAGAGGGTCCTAGAAAGGTTAAGAGTTCTGCACCGGTTGGAGTAGAATAGGAATCTAAAACAAAATTCGAGCAATTGGCTTTAGCGAACCTATTTCATTAGAATAGCATGCTACCTTCAGCATCGGTAAAATTCCGATCAATAAGAGGCCGAAATGGTGGGGAAGGAAGCCCTCCCTACTTCAATGAAAGGGGAGAAGAGCCCTTTCACAGCCGCTCCTCTACAACTACCTTTCGCCCAACATGATCACGAACGAAGACAGAGAATTGCGTAGATAGGAGGACGAAACGAACCAACCCACTTTTCCTGATCGGAACGATTGAAGAAAGAAAGAGAATGGTGTCCCCTTTCGCCCAGGGGACATCGTCGGAGAACAATGCCGGGGACAGGGTGAGAACCTTCCGTTGCTTACACCCTTTAAGTGTTGGTTCTTCCGGGGAGAGATCGGGTTTCAAGATCTATGAACAAGAGAGATCCCTAAATCTCCATTTGAAAAAAGAGATGAATAGATAAGGCGAAGCCAGCTGAAGGAAGGACGCTAACGAGCAAGAAAACGGATGCGCTAACGCGCAACGGCTTTCCTTTCTCTGATAGAGGCTCGCTTCTTCAATTCAAGTTCAGCTTGCTGCTTTTCATTTTGATAGGAGTAGGTGCTTGCTGCTCGCTCGCTGTCTACTAAATGAGCCTTTACTGCCCGCCCAGCCCCTCTCTTTAATCTTAAGTAAAGTTCAGTCAAATCAATGAAGTGAATAGCCCAACCTCTTTGTTTGTTTCACCTAATTCGGAAAGAGAACAATAGACTTGCAACTATAGTCTAGGCAAAATCTTCTCTTTGATAGCGGTCATAGGGGAGTTCAGAAAGGATCTGATCGTAGAGAGAGACTTAAACCTGTGCGGGGGTAGGGGCGGATGTAGCCAAGTAGATCAAGCCAGTGGATTGTGAATCCACCACGCGCGGGTTCAATCCCCGTCGTTCGCCCATCAATAAATGGACCATTTGTTACGGAGACGGAAGACAAACCTAGAAAGCTTTTTTTCTGCAAGTCATCTCGAGGCTTCAAACGCATCCAAGCAATTGGTATCCGATTGAAGCATAGAAATAGATTCGGTTCGCCTACTTGCTGAAAGCACAAATGGAATGGCCGATCATGAATTCTATGAAGTTTTTAAGACCTTCACTTTTGACTTCATAATGAATTAAATGAACCCCCGGATGAGGAGCAAATCTCCCCTCCCTTTTACTAAACGATGGGGAGCCCCTAGTAGTTTACCGGACAAATTGAGTTGTCGTGACGAGACCTTTCTTAGTGGAAGATCGGAATTCTCTTCATCACGAGACTGATCAGATCAGACACCCGAGAGACCTCCACAATTGAGTAAGTAAGAGGAAAACAAGCAAAGAGTTATGCTTTCATTTCTTTGTTGAGATTGAAATCAAGTTCTTTAAAAAGGGGGTAGGTATAATGAACGCAGGCCAAGTCAAGAAAAGGACTTCCTTACTTTTAGTCTTAATTACTAGTAGTTTGAAGCGAAACCTGTTTTTTTGGCACTCGGTTCCTTCGTCTTAAGTAAAGTTCAGTTGACTTTTTTGATTCGGAACTCTTAGTCGAGCTGATGGCGAGATCTTTTTTTTGTTCGAGGTTCAAGAGGAAGAAGAGAAGAGGAACCCCCGCCCAATGGTGCTTTTACGAAAGTACGGTCACCGGTGGCTAATACCTTCTCGACACTATCGAACCTGAAATCCACTCTCAATCGCTCTTTTTAGTTGGCGGTCAAGGGTTGCCCAATTTCTTAGCCGATACCGGGACGTCTTTGCTTGGTCATATAACGATATGCCAGGTTTAGATCCAGTCCTAGTAGAGCATAACTTTAATAGAGGTCTAAAAAGAAAGTCTCCAAGCTCCATCCCGACTTGGAGTTTTCAAAGAAAAAAGGAAAAAGCGGCCCGCTGAATTAGGACCTTGGATTATTCTGATTGGATCTCTAACCGTCCCCGTACCGAAAAAGGATGGGAAGGACTTTTCTTTTAGAAAGCTAAACTAAATCAGGCCTGTCCCAAGGACGATTTCCCACTCCCAAATTGAGATGTCGGGGTAAAAAATGCTGTCATTTATGGACGGTTTATCAGGATACAACCAAAGACGGTTGGCCGAGAAAGACCAAAAGAAGACTTCCTTCATCACGGGGCAGGAAACCTTCTGTGCAAACGTCATGCCATTCGGCTAGGCCTAAAGAATGCCGGAGCAACCTACCAGAGGGCTATGACGGCCATCTTCCATGAGATGATGCATAGACTATATGGATGACATAGTAGTCAAATCCAAGACAAGGGTCAATCACATAGAAGTCCCCCCGATTAGTCTTCGAGAGGCTTAAAAAAGAAAAGAACATGGAGCGGTCAAATCAAACTCATGGGTTGGTTAAGCTGAGTAGGCGGTTGACTAGGCCTTTGCCTTGGCATATAGGCATGTTGGCCTTGATTTGGTGGAGACGGGCGAACCCGCTGAGACTGTGGTAAGGTTGCCTGAGGTGGTGGAGCAAAAGAGACATGCATACCCTGAGTTGATTGGGGAAGACCTGGTTGTTGCAACATTGGTACGTAGGATTCCGAGAAGAAAGAGGCGAGCGCATCGAAGTTAGAGAAAGGGCTCTCACAGACCCCTAATCTCATCCAATAAAAAGATATGGGATATGGCAGTCTATTGTCCTTCCAAGCTAAAATAATGAGTTCTTATTGCAGCAGGATTGTAGCGGTTGGCTTTCATGCAGGTAGCCGTAGCTTGAAGACGAGGGGCGGTGTGGTGTAAGGGTTATGGCGAGTCAAGCAATGATCGGAGAGGGAAGCTTATAGGCTAGCTAGGTTTTCTTTTTCACTGGCTTAAGGTCTAAGGGTACCCTTTCCACCTAACCATTGTTTAGAAAGTAAAAACAAGAATTCTTAAATTGTTTAGACTCAACTTTGTTCTTCGACTTCACTTTGTCTTCGTTTAGTCCAGTTCAAAGTTTAGTGCAGCCATAGGACAATGGCATTTTCTTAGCTAAAGGTAGATCAGAAAATGAAAACTTTTACAAAAGCCCGCATTTCGCGACTGTAACAAATGCTTATCCGGTGCAAATCATTTATCCTACGCACGACGTCAACAAAACGAGGCATGAGAACCAAAGCGCAGGCAGGGAGAGCCGGGCCAACTACTAATTATTAACCGTCCTTTCAGTTGGGACTTTCAAGCAAGCCTTGCGAAGGCAGCCTTCTCGTGCATCAAATACTTCATTTCCCGCAAGTGACCAACCGAAGCCATGAAATTTCTTATATTATAAAAGGAGTGCTAGAATGTCTTTTCAATTGTAGGGGCACGTTAGCGCTAATATAAAGCAAAGGGCTTTTTCAGCTGGATCCAGAACGAATAGGAGATATATCAGTACGCCATCCACGGGACACCTTTCATAGTGAGGGAAGTCCTCTGTTTTTAGGTTGACGAGCTACTTTAGTTTAGTTTTCGAAAAAAGCATAAAGCCCGGTATTTTCGTAAACGTAAAAGAGGGACGAGTGACAAGGGACTTGAGTGACTCACCCTAATCAATAAGCGGGAGCAGGTATCGAGTGTTGTGAGGGCTTTTATTTGCGCGTTAAGGGCAGTTTCTGTTATAGCACTAGGAATCAGTGCCGTTAGTCTAAGCTAAAACAGAGGGGATTTGGAATCCATTCCATATTCCATACGCTAGGAAGTCGATCTGAACTGTAATTATAGCCTTCGCTTGAACCGAAGAGAGCGATGCGAACAGTTCAGGAGGCCGCATATCAAACCCTTAGTTCAGTGATGGGTTTCATAAGTACTCTTGGTCAATCATATCATTCTCCAGACGGGATGGGGTGTAGGCACGTTTATTGGAGCAGTTGGGAAGAACACCGGCCTCTTTCTTTTTTCAATCGTTAGAAAAAGGAGCTTGGTCAGCCATGTTCCCTACATACCCTATCGTTATTCCCATGATTCCCCGTTGCACCTATTCTCTGCAACCGTCGGTTCAGATCTATCTCGGGTATGGTCACTGCACTCCAATCGTTGTATCTCCAATCTCTGCCTTGGTTGGTGGCACCTATGGTTCTGAAGGTTTTTGATTCCAAGAAAGATAAAGAAAAGAAGAGGATTTATCCTCTAGTTGCGAAGGATACTGCTTACTACAGATTCGAGTGAAATGGCTGGTAGTAAGCGTGGTAAGGTCGCTGCTAACGAATGGTGGGTTCGTGGAGAATGCTATGGATTCGAGCTCCATTTCCCTCTCGGTACTTAGATCTTCCTCTAAAACGTCTCCCATTCCTCTTTCCTTTGTTCCGCCGACTACATTGATTGGATACCGATGGGCCTGCCTACGCATAAAGTCTAAGGATTCTCCCATAAAGCCATTGAATTGCCCTTGGTTGTCCTACCTTAGATCTTATTCCCACCTTGTTCTATTGCTCTTTCTCGATGGGGCGCTAGACCTCATTCTCTTTGAGACGCTTATTCAATTGATAGTGGCCCCTCCTTACGTTACTTTAATTCGATGGGGAGGATGGGAGTAAGGAGCAGGTACGGGAGCTTGACCAGGAACAAGATAATGAGAAGTGGATTTGCCTGGGGTGGGCTCACTTTTCTGCCTTTTCCTCCCATGATTTAAGGATTGGCTCAAGCAACCTATCTTACTAATAAGAAAGTGGCTGCTAGTTGTAGCGCCCCTTTATAAAAATGATATTCTTCTGCGAGACTCCATCCAACCAAATCCCATTTTTGAAGGATGTATTCTCGGAAAACATCATCGCGAAAGCTTTTCGGTTGGAGGTGAGCTAAAATGGAATGACGGGGATTAAATGGCCTGGAAAGCTGGTAGGGTTTGGGGCGAGCTGTGGGCTACATTAGATATGGGTTGAAATGGCGAGAGCTGAGATGACGGGAAGAAGCAGACCCATCGAGAATCGAGGAATGACCATGTACTCCATCCCTTACGGGGCTCATGGATTAGCGTATTTCGAAAGAGGAAGACGGGGGGTGAGAAGCCATAGCAAGATTATATGAATTTCGGGCCTCAGTTTCTGCATCATGATCCACCTAATATGGGTATTGTGACTGGCATATGGATTTTGAGAATTGTTGGAAGGGGACTGATGTTGATTTATGAAGGCGAATATTGGATAACTGAAGTTAGGAGGATTGTAGAGTGACAAAGGAGCTACTTGGGGTTGGAGGAATGCCGAACGCATTGCAGACATGCCTTTGGATATGGTTGCCGCTGATTGGATTAGTCTAACCATCATCTTCTCTAACCTAGTCAAATAAAGACTGGCATTCATCTCCATAGCCCTTTTTCTTTAGCAGTACAGGCCGGCTGGTCGGGGTTATTCCCCCCCCCCCCCCCCCCCCCCCGCTACCACAAAGATCACTGCCCAGCCACCGCTCGAGGGTACCTCCGCTCCCCAACTGAGCAAAATGGATCAAATTCGCGGGAAAGGAGAGATAAAAAAAGGGAAGGTTCTGCTGAGACTCAAGTTCCCCTGCCGGAGCTCCCCGAACCTGAAGTAGAAGTCGAGGGGCTGCTCAGTGAGAAGAAGCGTCAAATGATTCGGACAGTTGTCGCGCTGGTGGAGCAGGGAGCCTACAGGGAAGATTGGGGCAATGAGGAGTTCGACGATTTAGCCCATCGACTACATCTATCGCTGAACCAACTTCCGAATCATCTACCGAATCGCATAATCAACCGGATCCACCTAAACCTAATAAATTTCCTCTAGACAGAATGAGGCTCTCGTTGAGAGATCCATTAGTGATTGGCCCAACCCTCCTGGCAAAGAAAGAAAGGCAGGTTCAGGCGATTGATCAAAAAAAGATTTCCTTCCCTTTCTTTATGACAGATCAATTGAATGCAATTGAATGCAGCGGTGCAGGGCCTCTAAGATTATGAATAAGCTATTCATTTTCCATCCTATTGAATAAATTCGGCATGATGGTAGTAGAGTAGTCGATCTGATCTCGCGCGCGGGCGGATAGAAATGCCTATAGATGAGGTAGGCGAGGCTAGCTTGCCGGCAAAAGGCGATTGTCTTTTGTTTGATGAGAATGAGAAGGGCAATTGACTGCAGGCCTCGTGGGTGGGGGCAACTGGAGGAAGACAGCACGGGGCAAAGCAAAGGGCAGAGCTTCGAGTGACTTTTTTCTTTGCTCTTCGACAGCCCGTCACTCGAAGCTCCTCTGTCGCGCCCTAGCCGAGCGGTCATCGCCTGCACAAGCAAGCAGATTAGCTCCATCATTCCATTATTGTGCCGGCAGGCCTGGGCGAGCGAGTTAGGCTTAGATTAGAGGGAGGGGGACTGCGAACGTCCCATGAAGGGGGAACCATGCATTCCTCTCGGGCTGGGCTCTCGCGTGTCCGGGGTCCGATCAGATCAACCAGCGACCGGTTTACGTAACAAGGAGTTAAGCAAGGGCCAGGAGATTGATGAAAGAAACTGGCCGAAGTCAGTGTTGTGTTCAACTCCGCGGTTGGAAGGATTTCTTTCTGCCGTCTGTCTTTTCCTTCTCTCTTTTCTCTTAGCAAAGTAGGCTCAAGTCAAAGTTTTGGCTTGCTACAAGCTGGGCTCAGGGACTGCAGTCAGCCGCTTCCCCTGTAGTCGTCAGCTCGTTTTTGACAGATCCGATCGGGTGTTCATAATCTAGAGTAAAAGGATTCGAACCTTTGCATGCCAGTACCAAAAACCGATGCCTTACCACTTGGCTATACTCCATACAGCCTGTTTTGGACGGTAGAACGGGGAGAGGGGGAAGGGGGAAGCAGGGCTCGAAGAACGAGCCGAGCCGTGCAAGGACGCGGGGATATAGCAAGTAAGCAGAAAGGTTCTTTAGGACCGACTACAACAAGCTCACGACTCTAATAGAAAGAAAGGGTAAGCTCTCTGCTCTATTTGCTTGCAATGCTATGCCTATCAAAGTAGGTGAACGCTTCTGTAACCTTAGACTCGTTACGTTGTTCGACTGAACTCGTTGGCTCCACGTCCACCGAAAGTAGGTAACCTTCGTCATCGTTGGTTCCCGTAACCAAACCTTTCTTATCTTTTATTTATTATGTCTTTCTTTCTGAAGGGCTTGCAGTTCATTACACCAAAGGCTTTCAGTGAACTATTCAAGCTATCGAGAGAGTACCAAATGCTGACGGTAACGAAGGGGCCGATGCGGCCGGTTACCGGGAAAAGTTTCCCGGGAAACTACGTTCCCTTTGTAAAGTAGGCCTTTTTATAACTAATTAGAGTTGACATGAAATGGATCACAGAAGAAGACATAAAAGATGAATGAATGATTCAATCCCTTCCCACTCACACGGGTTCTTCTATTGAAGACCCGGGCGTACATAAGAGCGGAACCTAGATAGAACGCGGAGCACCGGCCCCGGCCGCCGATACTGTTACCATGCTTACCAGCTCTTACCATTGCCGCCTATAGATATAGATGGGAGGTAGGCGGGGCTAGCTTGCTTCTCTTCCCCTAACCTGCACATCTTATGTGCGAATAAAAGGAAGCGAGCGGCTCTTCGCTTAGTAGACGGCCGCCGGACGACGACCCCTTCTTGTTCTCGCCCAGCCGCTTCTTTTTTTGTTTTTTTTTTTCTTTTTTGAGAATCCTAGACTAAAGAAGAAGGCTCCTGAATCAGCGCAGGGAAAAATCCGCAAGCAGGAGAACTTTACTAACCTGCCGCCGGTTAGTTTATCAGGGCTCCGGAGGAGAAGAAAGAAGGTTCGGGTCCAATTTCTAATGAAGCGAAGGTCCCCCTTACTCCCTATTCTCTCTTCAAGCTTTATAAAGCTCTAAGAGAAAGGGTTGGTTAAGAACTATTGACTGTAAACGATAGCAGTTACAGTCACTCAATGGATATGCTCGCCTTTGGAATGAAGATGGATGAACAGGCACTTGAGCCTGGAACTGATGAAATTCGGAGAAAACATGGAACCGGTCACTATACCGGGGGGGGGGGGGAGACATGACCGCGACTTAAGATTCAAGTACCGTTGAAAAGACTAAAGGAACAGGGGAATGACTACCTGTAATAAAGCACATGCTAATACGAGCCGACCAGAAGAAGCAAGGCTTTAGATTACCAGATCCTGGACACAATCTTCCTAGAGATGGAGAGCCCCTGCCTTTTCTAGCCTCTCCTTATTGCTTGCTTACCTAGCTCTTGTCTTAGTGACTCTTCCTCTTTTCTAGGTTTTTTTAGTGTGAAAACGGTAGAATTTTCATTTTCCAATGAATTGGATCCGCCTCGATTCGATCAATAATGGGATTCTTGGCTAGAGAAAGGTTCTGTGACATGGACGCCCAACCCAACTCGGTCGGTCGGTTGGCCACCTAAGATATTAAAAAATTATCGATCGATTTGATCAAATGTGAAAAAGTCTTTCTCACTATTCAGAACAGTGGAGCTTTCGATCAAGATGTTGTCGCCTCCCCCGTTTGGGCTCTCGCTCGAATCAGAACCTTTATGCGTTGGTAGGCTTTCGACTCAATCTAATAGCCTACCTATCGTGCGCCAATAAAAGAGAAAGTTTGCACATGGGCTCATTATCTGATGCAAAACCGATGCGAGAGGGAGAATCAATATGGGAGAAGCGGGGATTGAGAGCTTTCAAGAACCAGTGGAAAGGAAAGACTTGTTCCCTGCATTCCTTTCTTTCCAAAGAGAGTCATTAGTGCTAGGGCATAAAAGCTTTGATTGAATGAACGCCACCTTGGTTGTATTGTTTTCAAACAAATCCAATGTTGGGCCAAGCGTTGCCAGCCGGTAATAGCCGAAGGAAAAAAAAGGGGGAGATAGAGAAGAGGAGATTCAGAAGAGTCACTCCACTCCATGGATAGTGCACACAGATTCTTCTTTCATTTCCAATTCCTTTCGGGTCGGAAACGTGGGCTGCTGGTGGGGCTGTGCCCCTTCTCCCTCTTCTTCCGCTTTACAACCGGAATAAGGAACCTTAGAATTCACCCCGATTCAAAAATGGGATTTGAGAGGCTAGCGAATCGGAATTGTATGGAATGTCCTACTCCTGCCCGAGCTTTCTGATCAACCAATCCCCTATTTCATTTCAGGGACATCTGTGTTAGGTAGGCCCAGGGATCACTGATTAGTCGAATTAGCCCATCCCTCTGGCCTATCATTTGTTGGTCGATCCGGCTGGCGGCTCCTGCGTCTGGGGCCCCTTTATACTAGTTTGCTGCTAGGAGTCCCTCTAGTCGAATCCATAATCCATAGAAGTCCCAATAGAAGTTTACTGACATGGATCTTCCATCGGCGATCTACTGCTCCCTCTTAGTTGCAGATGCCCATGCTTTGATTCGAAAGCCCTAGCCAGTGATGAATCCCCAGGAAGAGAGGACTATTGAATTCCTCCTCCCTTCAGTCCAGTTTGAACCTGTCGCAGCAACGAAAACCTTCCTACTGCAAGGCTTTGCTCTGCCCTTCCACTAGAATCCACTCCGGGTCGGAGGAGCAGCTAGTCCAACTTCTTGAGCAGCCGAGATATTGAAGAACAAACATTCGCTTGAATTCCTTGCCTCACCCTGAGATGAGAGGGAAGGTCGATTTGACTCGAATCCTGGACCTGATCTTTAATCCTACACCGGTTAATGATGCGATGAGAGAAGTTTTTCTTTTGTCATTTTTCATCAATGCTGGCCCAGTCGAGGTTCGTCCATGCCCAATCCCAATGGACAAACCTTAGCCCCTAGCTCTATAATCCACCCTACCCAGTCCCTGAAAGCCCTCCCGGTGGCCTAGCCCTCTTTCTCCGAGTCTTAAGTGGCTTTCATCGTTGACGAACACCTGCGCTAATAAGACAAAGAGGGAGTCTATGCCTTGAATGAATCAGTAAAGTAACAACGGATTAGTGGAATGAGGGATCAAGAGACAGATAGGGGGAGAATGGCAATCATTGGTAGACCTTCCCTTGAACGAGTCACGGAGCTCTCAATGGAGTGGTTTAGGTTCTGGAATTCCATCTCTAGTTGGGGCTTTCGGTTCGAAGGTTATAAAATGTGGTGCGGGTTCATCTCTCTCGACCATTTCAGGTTCAAGGGAGGGTGATCGAGGGGACCCAGACTTGAGATCTCTTCTCTATGGCGGGAGGTCTTTTTCGTATCAAGAGTTTTTGGGGAGGCCAGGGAAGACGGATTGGATCGAGAGGCGATGCTTATACCTCTTCTTTCTCGATAGTATTCCCATCATTTTAAGTCTCCGGCGAAGGAGATAAGGGCGAGGGACCGAACATGTTCTATCCTCAACCTACATCCGTCATTAGTAATCTCAATTCGCTTTTCCTATTCACTAGTACAATACGCGCTACAACTAGCAGCCTCTTACTAGTAAGGGAAAAGGCTAGCGCGCAAGGGCTGATGAAAAGCCATCAACTTGTTAGGACTAGGTTTTGGCTTGCCCCTTTCTTCTTATTAGGAAGATAGGTTTGGAACCCTATACAAGGGGCTGCTTGATGCTCACCCCTATCTCTAAAAGGGCGCACACTCGTTACCACTAAACGACGAAGCCGGGAGAGGAAGGAGGGACTTGAACCCTCAACCTCAGCCTTGACAAGGCTATGCTCTACCAATTAAGCTATTTCCGTCAGCTACGGTAGTGGCGAAGCACTACTGAGCAATTCACGTATCACTTGATACAGACGACTTCTGTTTTTCCGCCGGACCACAATCTTGACCTCCGATCGAGCTACGAACACGAGTAGGTAGGCTAGGGGGC